GTGTGTGTGTGTGTGTGTGTGTGTGTGTGTGTGTGTGTGTGTGCCAAAGCTGTATGTTGGTATGTCTTCTGCCAAAGTTTGTTTAACTTTTTAGCCTCTCCCGAATTATTCACCCTCTTCTCTTTAAAGTGCAGTCAAAGCTATTCTGATGGCAGAATAGCTTAATTTAAAGATCATCTGAGCAAAGGCATATTTATTTTGATGGCGAGCCATGACTGCTGGCGTATTCTATAGATCTGGAAATAATTTAGGGATCATAATAGAAAGCAATATTTTGTATCATAACACAAATTCCCACTTGACAGCAAGCTCTATGCGCATTGCAATCTGCAGGTATATTATTACCCTTAGAAGCATACAGTGCATTGTCATCTTATATGCGCGAAAACATTAACATATTGACAAGATCTTTGGGATAAACTCAATCTTTCAAGTTGAACAAAAACTGCGTTTAAAATGAACAACATTTGTAAAGATTAACACAAACAACACAGTTTGTTCAAACTTACCAAGTTGTGGCAGTTAAAGAGTTTGATTTTTAAAACAATATGTAAGGCAGCGTGGTGGAATCAGACTCTTGTCAAAATAATCAAAGTGAAGAAACTTGCAGTTTTCTGCAGGCTTGTGAATTTTTATCAAATTTTTGTTTTTGGGTTCAGCACATTCTATGGCCATTAAAGAACTCATTTCTGTGTTGATTTTACAGAAAAACGTTGATTAAAGGCATAAAAGATGTGAATTTTCTTTTTTAATTTAAAGAAAGGCAAGTGAACAAGCTTTCAGATAATACCAATAACTCTATGTGCCCAAAAATTGACGAGAGCCGGATTCCATCACGCTGCCTCACATATGTAAAGATTAACACAAACAACACAGTTTGGTCAAACTTGCCAAGTTGTGGCAGTTAAAGAGTTTGATTTTTAAAACAATATTTTTGACGTTTCAGGCTTTTACCATGAATGGAGGTTTGACAATACAGACAGTGAACCCCAAGTACCAGAATGTGATCGGAAACAGACATAATCTGAGCTTCCGCGACATCAAGTCTGTGAACATCATGTACAACTGTAAAGCGGGTAGGTGTGTGTGTGTGTGCGCGCGCGCGCGCGCGTGTGTGCGTGTGTGTGTGTG